TTTTCACTGGGCATGAGCTGAAACAATGTACCTATGGAGATGTGAAAACATAGGCATTTGAAATGTTAGAGGAATGATAAATCTAAGGATAATGGAATTGGAGGGTTGTTATAAGACCCGGCTGGGACTAAGGCTTATAATAAGAAGCTGTGGTAACTAACATCATTTACAGACTTGAAGGTCACTCTCTCAGAACAAGAGAATTTAACATCCAAGCTAAGACCCTATTGTATGTTGAAAACTTGCCTTGAGGGTGACTCCTAGAAACGTGGAAAAAGCAATGGGCCTCACAGAGCCCAATTTGAAATGCTTGAATTGCCAAGGTATAAAAAGAGGAAGGAATAAAAGACCCAGGGATGTAGGAATGCTGGAATGGATATGCAATGTGAGGCCAGAACAAATATGTTTCCCAGGTAGGTCCCAAGGATATGCCATTCACTAAGGGTGTTTGTTGGGGATGTGCTGGTGAGGGGGGCCCCAGCACCCCCATGAAGTTCCCTGTGGTTCCCCTCTGCAGGCCAAGGTTAAAGGCAGGAGAAGTGGTCACAGAATCTGATCCACTGACAGCAATAGAGATGAGCAGGCACTGGAGCAACAGAGGCTACTGTCAACATCTCACCATCAGAAGTCAGAGGGTGACAGGGTCCACAGTTATGGGATGGCTAATAAAACAAAGCATCCCAAGGGTCAAAATAGCTGAGCAGCCAATTGATTGACTGAAAGTCACTCAGTTGTGTCTGACTCTTTGTGACCCTATGAACTATACAGTTCATGGAATTCTCCAGGCCAGAATACCAGAGTGGGTAGCCTTTCCTTTCTCCAGGGGATCTCCTCACCCCAGGAATTGAACCCAGGTCTCCCGCATTGCAGGCAGATTCTTCACCAGCTGAGCCAAAATAGCTGAGCAGATAATAGACACTGCTTAATATATTCAATACATTGTCAAAACAGAGCCAGAATGGACAAGCGGGGGGTTGAGGGAAGTACTGAGTCTCTCACCAAGTTTTCAAGGACTCTTGAAGACAGGGTACAAGCTGATGCTGATACCCAACAACCAGAAACTTCATCATGAGCTCTGGGGCAGGGTGAGGGCCTACAGGGGTCAGGTAATAAATGGAAATAAATGGAGCCTTGACCAAAGTCTAGGTTCACAAGGTCTGTGAACTCACCTGGTACTCATTTCCTTGGTCCCCAGATATATCTTGGATTGAGGTATGTGGCAGTTGGAATAACCCATACACTGAGCCTGTTGATGACAGCTATCATCGTAGGAAAGGTCAAGTGGAAGCTTCTGAAATGGCTCATCCCCCAAGATAGTGAAGCAAAAGCAGTATAACCCTGGAGGGGGATAGTAGAGATTAGTGCCACTGTTAAAGATGTAGTCACGGCAGTCCCTAGAATATCTCTGTTAATTTGCTGGTCTGCTCCTTACAGAAACCAGATGGATTCTGAAGACTACTGCTAACTCAACCAAACTATAGTCCTGATCACAGTTCCCCAGCTAGGTGTAGTCTCTTTGCCAGAGCAGATAATATGGTCTCTGGTACTCAACATGCCTTCAAACTGTGGTGCTGGAGAAGACTCTTGAGACCCCTTGGACAGCAAGGAGATCAAACTAGTCAATATAAAAGGAAATCAACCCTAAATATTCATTGGAAGGACTGATGCTGAGGCTGAAGCTCTTATACTCTGGCTACCTGTTGCAAAGAGCTGACTCACTGGAAAAGACCCTGATGCTGGGAAAGACCAAACACAGGAGGAGAAGGGGACAGCAGAGGATGAGATGGTTGGATGGCATCACCGACTCAATGGATATGAGTTTGAGCAAACTCTGGGAAATGGTGAAGGACAGGGAAGCATGGCGTGCTGCAGTCCATGGGGTAGCAAAGAGTCAGACACAAGACTGAACAACAACATCTCAATATGCAGCCATTGATTTGGTGAATGTGTGCTTTCCTATTCCAGCCAGGCAAAAAAGATCAGAAATACTCTGCTCCAGGGCCACATTAACTTTCCCACCATCTGTCACAATCTATAGACATCTCGACTACCTGGACAGAGTGCAGCATATCATTTAGATACATTACATTGATGACATCATGATGATCTGGCAGGATAGGGTGCTGGCATGCTGGCAACCTTGCTAAGACATATGCATTTCAGAGGGAGGGAGACAAACTCTACAAAAATTCAGGCCCTGGTCAAGTCGGTAAAGTTTCTGCACATCCCAAGGTTAGGTATGTCAGGACATTCCATTTAAAGCAAAAGACATATTTGTGCACGATGCAGCCACTACTGCAATAAAAGAAACACAATGACGGTTAAGCTTCCTTGGGCTTTGGACACAACACATTCCACACCTAGGAAAGCTGCTACAGCTCATGTATCAGGTGATATAGTGTATTAGTGTCAGTCGCCCAGTCGTGTCCGACTCTTCGCCACCCCAGGGACTGTCTGTCCATGGGATGCTCCAGACAAGAATACTGGAGTGGGTTGCCATGCCCTTCTCCAGGGGCTCTTCCTGACCCAGGGATTGAACTTGAGTCTCCTGCATTGCAGGCAGATTCTTTACCGTCTGAGCCACCCCCAAATTTATATCTGGGCTCGGAGTAGAGACTGGCTCTCCAGAAGTCCTCACTGCAGAACAAGCAGCACTGAGGCTTAGAACAAAGACCCCAGCACACCCTGTGGGACTGAAGGTGTAAGTGGTAGAAGATACAGTGTGAAACTTTCCTCAGGTCTCAGAGGGAGAATCACAACCCAGGCCCCAGGGGTTACCCACCAAGGTCAAAATGCGGCCTTCTGTAACTTTACTTATTCCCAGAGAGTATTTATACACTCAGCGATCTTAAAATCATATACAGACCTAAATAAAGAATTGTAAAATACCACAGTAATGTGCCGTGGGGATTTCTGTTTGTTTCTGTTTATTTGTAGGATTACTAAGACAAAATGAAAAACATTGAAACAACTCTTCTGAAAAAACATAGTAGCTAGAGTATTGTGGAGAAACAATAACACCTGTGTGACCACAAACCAATTTTCTCTAGCACTATTGTGATAAGACATAATGTTGTGGATAAATATTGCAATGTTAATATATGTGTAAATAAAAATACTTCCCATAAACATACTCTTTTGAAGTTCATTCATGCTTATCTATAATGTATGATTCTCTCATTTTTTATCACAAAAACTGTTAGCAGTAACTTTTCTGCAGAAAAGAGGAAAATTTTCTATAATGTGCTATTGTTTGCTTAGCTGGTGATATAGATTTGAAATGGATTTTCTCTCTTTCTTACTGCCTTTCAAAAGGTGTATTTCTGATTTGCATTTGAGAACTACCATAAATTGAGTTACAAGCTTTGAAAACATATGGTTTATATATAGAACTGTAAAAAGCTTCAGAAACCAGCCCTTTTCCATTTTAGCTCATCCTTCCCCTTTTCTATGGTTAGAGCAGATCTATAGGTCTAAAATGTCCAATTGACTGACAGGGCTAAAGCTCTCGGGATATCTTCAGATGTCGGGACAATACTGAAGTAAGTATGGCTAACAATGTAAGGTTAATTCAAACGGTCTCGCATATATTTTAGAAATATGGATAAAAGTAACAAATTCACATTGTGCTTTACTGTGAATGCAGAATACCTGCAATATGAATTGGATAGTAGTAGGAAAGAGTATGTGAATAATTTAAACTAGATTATAAGACCAATGAGGCAATTTTAAGAATGTGTTTCATCATAGCTCAGTATGAATAGCGTGATTCTTCAGATTTACGTGATTTTGAGGGGGGGTCCTGTGGATTCTGGGAACTCTTGATAATTGAATACAATTTCAAAAGGGCTCAAGTTGGTGACCTCAAAACGAGGTTCACAGAACAATACACAGTGATGAAGCCAGAAGCAATAAAACACTGATGAACGGAGATGTAAACACACCGGTAGGACATGACTGAATTTTCATTTATTTTGTTTTGGAGTTCTCCTGGGTTGTCTTCAGACACCTTCCCTTTGTATCTGACAGTGTATCACAAGGGTGTTAAGGGGAGAACCCAACAGTCTAGGGGATCCCAACAAAGTTTAGCAGACAGCTCACGTAACGTTACGGAGTACTTCTTTCTGAATATGGGAGCTATCCCTCCGAAATGGAAGAAAATGTACACTTGAGGGTCCCTCTGAATGACTGGAGTTCAAAAATGCTCAGCTCCTCCGCCTTTGTCCTTCTCCCCCTGGCTTTGGCGGCCACCTGTGCCGCAGGTCACACCTGCCACGCTCACTGCGCCGCTCACCGGCTCCGGACCCGAGCCCGAGGAAGGAAAGACTCGCGCGCGCGGCCGCGAGCGGGCGGGGGCGGGAGACGCGAAGGGGCGGGGCCGACGCGCGCGAGCGAGGTGTGCGCGCCGCCGCCGCCGCCGCGTCACCAGCGTGCGGCACGTGCCCGTGTTTACGTCCCTCGTGGAGCCGCTACGTCAGCAGCCGAATGGCAACACTGTGGCGATTCTGAGGCTCTGCGCTCCAGAGACGCGTCCCTTCGTCAGGCCGGCTCCAGGCTGTCGGGAACAAGAGGAGGAGGGGCGAGGAGATCCGCCAGGGCGAGCGCCGGAGGCTCGCAAGCCCAGGGCCCCGACCACCCGCCCGCCCGGCCCCGCGCCACCCGCGCCTCACCTCCGGAGCGCCGCAGACTCAGCCCGGCGGCCTCGCTCGGGGGGCGGCCCGGGCGGGCGCGGGGCTTGTAAACAGACCCGGCCGCACGTGACCATGTGAACTACCTGCTCCGGGGACGCGCATTGTCTTTCCCGCGAGCCGCGCCACAAAGGAGTGCGACGAGTCCGGGCACGGAGAGACGGGAGAGCGAGCGGGGAGAGCCGGCCGGCGCGCTAAGATGGCTGAAGGCGCCCGGCGAGGGTGAGTGGGGGGCGCGGCGCAGCCAGCCGGCGAGTGCTCGCGCGGGCAGGGCCAGCGGCGCCTTCCCCGCGGCCTGGCGCCGGAGCCACCATGTCGTTCGCGCTGGAGGAGACGGTCGAGTCGGACTGGGTGGCCGTGCGGCCCCACGTATTCGACGAGCGCGAGAAGCACAAGTTCGTCTTCATCGTGGCCTGGAACGAGATTGAGGGCAAGTTTGCCATAACCTGCCACAACCGGACGGCCCAGAGGCAGAGGAGCGGCACCCGGGAGCAGGCGGGGGCGCGAGGCGGCGCCGAGTCAGGCGCGCTCGCATCCGACGGGACTCGCGGGCCGGGCAGCCCGGCGGGCAAGGGTCGCCCGGAGGCCACTGCCTCCGCGACTCTGGGCAGGAGCCCCGGGTCCCGCAGGCGCCCAGCCTGGCCGGAGGGCAGCTCTCCGCGGAGCGTGTGCAGCCTTCGAGGGGACGCGCCGCTGTGGAGTCAGGCCGGCAAAGGGGCGGAAAGTCCTCTCCGGAGCCCAGTGCGGGCCAACCCCAGTCCGGTCCGGAGGGCATCCGGAGGCAGAGATGTGGCTGGGTCTGCCCCTGCGGCAGCCCCGCCGGCGGCCAAGGAGGCCCCGATGTCGTCGGTGCGGGTAGTGAGCGCCTGCGGGACGGTTACCGAGGAGATCGAGGTGCTGGAAATGGTCAGGGAAGATGAGGCGGACTCGGCGGCGGTAGCGCTGCCGGCCGCTGAACTGGAGTCCCCGGCCGAGGAGTGCAGCTGGGCCGGGCTCTTTTCCTTCCAGGATCTGCGCGCCGTGCACCAGCAGCTGTGCTCCGTGAACTCGCAGCTGGAGCAGTGCCTGCCGGTGTTTCCGGAGGAGCCGTCGGGCATGTGGACGGTGCTCTTCGGGGGCGCCCCGGAGATGACCGAGCAGGAGATCGACACGCTGTGTTACCAGCTCCAGGTTTACCTGGGCCACGGCCTGGACACCTGCGGCTGGAAGATCCTGTCCCAGGTGCTGTTCACCGAGACCGACGACCCGGAGGAGTATTACGAAAGCCTGAGCGAGCTGCGGCAGAAGGGCTACGAAGAAGTGCTCCAGCGGGCCAGGAAGCGCATCCAGGAGGTAAGGACCCGGTCTGGGCTCCGCGCATCACTTTTGGCTTCTCCACGCTGCTGGAGACTGGAACCTCGGTCTAGGTTGTGCGCATTTGGGACACTTGTTTTCCTAGGGAAACAAGGGGAAAGGAGGGCTTCCTGACCTTTCTCCCCCTTCATTCCTCTCAGAGGTGGGGAAAACCCTGGCTTTCCTTAATTTGGCCTCTGAAGAAACTTGGATAAACCTTTAGATTTCCGCCTCCTACTTTCATGTAAGTTCTATAAAGTGCTCTGTTTACTACTAAGTAATGTTAATGAGATTAAAGTCACTCAGAAGGAAGATGTCCCATAAATATAAGCTAAATGAGTGATTCTCTTGGTCCCTAAAGTTCTTTCCAGCAATAATTGCCCGGATCATTAAACTTAGTTTCCTGTTGTCATGTTCGTTTATTGAAAATGATTTGTCATATGAAGTAAAATTGGTCCGTTTTTTGTCTCCAAATGTAATTTGTCAACCTTGTTAAATTTTAAATCATTTTCCTCCAGATGAGTGGCCTGTCCAAATAAAAAGCCCTTATTGACAGTTGGATGCCAACGGACTTTTCTACATACCTTAGGAATATTTCAAGTCTTTAAGGAGGGCTAATGTTTCACTCGTTTTAGGGAGGAAAAAGGTCTTGGGCAGGAATGTTTATTATACTTTTGAACTTGAGTAAAAGTAGTTCAGGCACTTATTTTCAAACGAATCCTTGAAATTCTAGGAAACAATGGGAAAAGGTCTGAATGGTTATACATAGAGAGTTCTACGATGTGTAGGATGTATAATTGGAGGTCATGCGTACTTACGAGCTTCTGCCGGAAAACTACTAAAAAAAGTATTCTCGTTCTCAAAGCAATTATTTTTAGTATTAGTACCACTTGAGGTTGGAGTTGGGTTGGGGAAATGCCTCCTTTTGTCGTGTTTACTATATTCTTTGCATGTGTTTACATACTACTGGGATCTTGTAGTATGTGCCAGGAAGCAGGAACCTCCTAATTTCTTCGTAGAATATTCTTTATTCGGGATTTAGGAAATAATTCTTCCTCACTTACCCACAGTGCTTTCTTAAAACCTGGTGACTCCAGGTTTTCACTTCTCCCTGTTAGATTACTTGATGCTAAACATCACCCATCATGATGTGATCCTGTAGTTCTAGCGATCTGTTTTTATTTCCCTTTTTATCATCTCACTTCTGAAGTCTTTGTTCTATTAATACCTTAAATCCTTTTTGGAAGGAAGTGACAAATCTTACATAGTCATGTTCTCTTTAGAGTTTTCATAATGACCTGTGTTTCTTTTAAACTGCAAGGACAAAGTGCTTCTTTCGCTTATTTGTTTTACAGGTATATATTATTATTTTTTTCTTTTTACCTTTCTATTTTTTAATCCCTAAATGGTGAAGATATGTTTGGTTTTAATTTTTCTGATACTCAGAAAAAGTAATTGTGGGTTTTTTTTTTTTCCATTCAAATTGGGTCAAAAATGAGGACTGCTGAGAAACAGTTTTCTAGAACTCATGTACATTTTTTAAGAAAGATTATTTTTCCTATTTAAGGTTATATTGTCCATATGTTTTATTCTCTTTAACAGGATATTTAATTTTTTTGTAGAGTTATTTTGGGGGAGGGGGAGCAACTCAATAAATGGAGTTTATTTTAAGTTCATTGAACATTAAATACATAAATTCTGGGTTCTTCACATAGTTGACTGAACAGTATTTGAAAAATAGTTATCCGGGAAGGACAACAGATAGGTTCAATTATAATGCCCACCCTGATTTCTACAGGAAGGCTATTTTGGAAGAAATTAGGCTCAGTAGGAGGAAAGGGTTACATGATTAATCAATGATGCCTACCATGAGTGACAGTGGGAGTGTATAGTATAACTGCCATAAATTTTTTTCTACCTCATCTGCTTAAACTTTTTGCCGATTGAATAGCTTGCAGTAACATTCTTTTAGGTAAAATCTTTGTAGAAGTTGTGTCATGTTTTGTTATCAGTTCTGTTAGTAATTGTGTCTAAATTTGTTTTTAATTCTCAGTCTCACAATTATATGGAATTAACCATAGGTTTTTTAAAGCTAGGTAATATGTGGTGAATCACACATACTCTTAGGTATGCATTGCATGATCCTTTGGTCATGTTTTTTCCTTTTGTAATTTCTCTGAATCTATTTTCCAGTTCTTTATTCTACAGTCTTCCTATCCAATATATTTAAAGGTTTCAATTTAAAGACCACACCAATTTGTGTGCAAAATTTTATTTTTTAATAGGACAAACTGTACAGTGAGATTGTAAACTTCTCAAGGTCACTGGCCTTGACAGTATCTTGGAATTCTCTTCTTTGCCACCCCTAGTTCAGGGCCACACAGCTTGTGAGCACTTTAATAATAGTGGACAAAAGACACCAGTTTTTTTTAAGAGATTTGGAAGAAGTGTTATTTTAATATAAAGTTGTAAGTAAATAAAATTTTTAAGCTGATAAATGTAAATTCCTCAAGGAACCCTGCTATTTATAAACTATGAGAAAAATCTGTTTAAAACTATAAAAACATAACCTCCTAAATAAGGAGTGGTTATTTGGGGTTGGTGAATTTCTTATGAATTGAGAGGAGCTATTGATAGACTTTATGGAATACCTTAAGCAGTGTTCAGAGTTTTATATGCATAGGCGTATTTGCAGTTTTGGAGAGAAAGACTGAAAGGTATTCTTCAAAAAGAGCCTTAAAATCACAATTATAAAGTATCTACTTTGTAAACTTAGGATATAACCTCTTTTGGAGTTTAGTTTGGGGAATATATTCATGATTTATATGGGGTTATAAGAAGTACTCTTCTATCTGTCTTGTGGAGTATTGAAGTATTACTAAACCTTACATTTTCTGCCAAAAGTTTTTGTTAATAGTTCACAAATTTGGTCAACTGACTAGTTTGTGAGGAGGTACAATTTATACAATACTAATGAAGTTATTTTTAGATGAATTAAGAATTGTAGATTGTATACTCCTTAGGCCTTTAATCTTGAGTACAGATGAAATGTGAAATTTATTACATGGCAGGCTTGTCTTGAACTTTAACAAGGATTTACTGTAAGTAGTGCTATTTATATAGCAAGCACTCAATCCCTGAATGAATCAAGTGCCATCAGGACCTCTTGGAATGGTTTCAACAGTAGCCTTGGTTGTTGGTTGGTTAAAAGTTGAGTATTGTATTATAAGTCATAGTATGGTTTACCCTTTGATGACTTGAAATAAAGTTTCAGTATAAGGACAACTATTGAAATCATTGTGGTCGTTTAGATAGTAAACCTTAACTATGATGATAGAGTTGATTGAAATCTAAAAATCAGTGCTCACTTTGGAATTTATTATGTTTATAGAATTGCTCAATTCTAACTTTTTCAGTTGAAACCACTGAGAGAAGCATGTGTTTTCAAAAGTAGCCATGTAAGGCACACAGTAGACAGAGACTACCTTGTGTTTGGGGTCAGAAAGATGTGGGTTTAAATGAGTGCTCATCGTTCCTGTGACCTGTTTAGTTATTTAACCTCTTTAAAATAGAGAAATGGGGGAAATACTTAAAGGATTTCTGAAGATTTAAGACATTATGAAAAAGTACCTAACAAAAGTGTTTGGCATCCAGAAAGTGTTGTTTCAAGGGAATGTAAATATTTTTTGGCACTATTTTAGATGTTGGGTATTTCACATTACCTGTGTTCATCCTCCATACAATTTTTTGAGGCAGGTGATGGTTTATACCTATTTTACTGAAGGAGAAGTTGATTTGGCCAACTTTAACCAGCTAAGGAGTGACTAAACTCAGATTCACCTTTGATTTGTCCTCATTCAAACATATGCCTTTTCTGCATATGTTTCTGCATATGCCTTTTCTGCCATTTTTGCATGATGACATTCGAAGAGATGTCAGTCTCCACTCCTGAGAATGGGAGGATGGCGTCAGTATTTTAAAATCTAGTTGGTTCAGTAATGAGCTTTTAAGGTAATGCATTTGTTTTATTTCAAATTAATCCTGATAGGCATAGTTTAGGGCATAGTCCTCACGATATGTTTTAGAAGCAGGTTGCCTAGGATGCCAGGATGGGTTTATGTTAGACAAGAGCACCCAATCACTGTTTTCCTTTGTGTTTAAAATGACTTGTCTATAAACAACTCCTGACTAGAGTTGTTCAGCAGAAGGTCAAGGAGCTCTATGAAGATTGTTTACTTATCATTTCCCTCCTCCCATTTATGACTTTACTGATTTTCCCAGGAAAACTAAGATTAGCTATAAAATTCTGGAGCACTGCTAAAATCCCAACTACAGACAGTCCCTGACTTAAGGTCATTCAGCTTTAAGATGATATAAGTGAGGTACCCATTCAGTAGGAACTGGACTTCCTCTCCTGGGTCCCGTACTCGTTTGTAACTGGGCAGTGAGCTGTCACTCCCAGTCAGCCATGCGATCACAAGGATAAACAGCCATTCTCTGCTCACACAGCCTTTCTGTTGTCACTTCGGTACAGTATTAAAATCAAGTACTTGAGATATTCAACACTTTATTATAAAATAGACTTTGTTTTAGATGAGTTTTGCCCAAGTATAGGGTAACGTGAGTGTTCTAAGCATACTTAAGGTAGGCTAGGCTAAGCTATACTGTTCAGTGGGTGAGGTATACTGAATGCAGTTCTGACTTAAGAGTATTTTCAATTTATGACGCGTTTGTTGGGCAGTGACCCCAATGCAAGTCAAGGAAGATCTGTTATACTTGCTGTATACTTGCTATGTATCTGATGTATCTCTAATATGTCACTAGAGAAATGACAGTCTTTTAGGAGCCCTAGGATGCTGGTCTTTGGGCCAGTAGCCATGACCCGTGATTAGGTATACGCAGGAGAAGCAGGCTGGGGAGGGACACGTGCCCCCAGTTGCAGTGGAGAGAGAGCCATTCCACCTGGATAGTTACATAAACAGTGCAAATTGCTCTTTCAC